TAGAACTTTGGTAGCAATCAACTCTAAAGTGCCTTATGCTTCTTAACTCCTGTGCAAACACTGCTGTAGAGGCAGAAGCACATTTCAAAGAGTGTTAAGATGCTCAGTCACATAGTAACACATGACACAGCAAGGATGTTCCAGTCACCTTCTTTGCTATCACGCACAGTACAAAAGTGATGACAGAGACCGTGTTCCTAACCTTCCTTCAGCACTTCATTTCTCTTCCAGGCACTCCTGCAATAGAAGCACATCCAGTTTCCCACCATGGTCTGCAACGTTCCCCTGCGAGGACAAAGCATATGAGGAAGAAGGATCTCCATCAGACGGTGGGTCATTGTGGCCTTACTGGCCAGACCAGCAAGGAACAGGCTGGCAGGTTCTGCAATCACTGTTTTCTCCTCAAACACTTTTGCTCAGCAATGTGTCATTGCATAAAGGTGGTGAGCACAGAGCTATTGTTAAAAGGGGCTTCTCAGCATAGTCACCAGGCTGTGGAAACACTGCCATTTCCCGTGGCAGTCTGCAAGTGCAGTCCTTCTGGAACGCATTGATCAAGCGACACAAAGATCCAATCCCTCCCTTCCTGTACTTGCCAAAAGGCCTAATCCCCTGTCTCAGAAGGGCTTTCTTCCTCCTGGCTGTGCAAGGCTTATCCCTCTGTGGAACTCAGAACTTCCTAGTGCCAGCTGATCACAGCAAGCAGGGAAGGGAGGGAAGCTCATCATCTCTTGTGCAAGTCAGTCAAGATTTCAAGCCCATTTTTTCCATCATCTGTTCATACACTGTCCACGCCATTGCTGCCATCAGAGTGCGCCTGAGGGCACGGGGCACACCACCTCGGAAAAAGCCAATCAACCCGAAGTCCTGCAACAGAAGATAAACAAACAGTAACCCATCACAATCTGCCTCTAGTGTTTTATTTTTTCATCATTTACTACATGGAACAGCACAGGGTATAACTCAGATCAGACCAGTTTCTGAAATACTCAGGCTTAAATAGCATTTAATGTTCAGGAAGAACCTGTAGGACTGTGCAAGGGCAGGGCTACCCAAGAAAGCAGGAAGAGCAGTGACTGGGGAGAGGAATGCCCGGGTGGGGACAATGGACAGGGAAAGCCACACTCAAGCCCAACAAAGAGAAGGCAATGGTGTAACGGTTTCAAGACACTTCAGGAAAATGACTTGTCTTTGGTTTAGAGCTTCATATTTACAAAGTCACTTAGCCACACTGTAGAAACTGAGATTCGTACAATTGAAATAAAAAACCATTCTGATATGACAAAAATGTACCATGCACAAATAAACATATTCCTATTTAGGAACAGAGTTCAGAATGGAAACAAAGCAAACCTGCCAACATCTGCCCTTCTGAGGGCAGGAAGGGAAAGGTGGGCTTTGAGTACATCTCCATCCCGTTCCTGGGATACAGATCTGGGCATTCATTTCTGTTTTAGTGACCAAAGGGCAAAGAACTGTTTTGTAGCTGGTTTGTATCTGAATCTGGCATTTCTTGCTAATACTAAAGAAACCCCTTGCCCCCGTGTGCCTACACCAGTAAACCAGAGGTGGCACCAGCTGTAAGCACAGCTCCTCCAAGCCCACGTACTAAACTAAGCTGAAATGAAGT